GGATTTCAGAGCCCTTACTGGGAGCACCTGGATCTAAGTAATGAACGGATGAATCTGGTCTGTCTGTGGGTCCCGAGTAACCATGACCTGATCAAACTCTCCCTGAGGCTGGATATTGGTCATTCGCATTTCAGGCCAAGTCAGACAGCTTGGGGAAAGAGATTTCTTGTATTTGTCATTGGTCTGTTGGAAGGCCACAGCAGTTAGCTGCACGTGGCTGAAGTCCTTGCCACTTTGTCATGGTTTGCTACTATACAAGTTGCAATAACAAAATTGCACTGAGTTATTTTTGGCTTGCCTTGAATCTTTGAGAGTGACACAGCTTCCTTCAACAGCTGTGTTAAAACTAATAGCAGTGCTACATACTGCCGCCTTGCTGCGTTCTCATAGTCTCTGTGTGAAATGCAGAGTATTTAAGTCTCTCACCTAGCTGAGGTCTGGTGATCACCTCAGCTTTTTAGGTAGGAACTGTGTCATGAGCTCATTTTTATGAACACTGTCTCTGCCCAGCTGTGGAAGGGACAGAGTACTGCTGGGGCTGGAGTAAGAGTCATCTTCATTTCCAGCTGCCCGTCAGCCCAGGAGTGGGGGAGAAGCCTTTCTGCAGGCATGGAGGATCCAGGAGGATCCGGGAGGTGGAAGCTGTGTGTGCTGGTCAGAGGAGCACAGCTTCGGTGCTTGGACAACACCATCAGCTGATGATCAAGTGTCAGGGCTCAAGCAATAATCTTTCCTTTTGAGACACCTTTTTGAAATAGAGACCAGAAGTCAAAAAAGAGGAGCACACGGACGTTTTTCAAAATGCTGAGTCCAAGGGGAGCTAGCAGCCTGCACCACTCTACTTTTATTTGATCATAACAAGCTAGTACAGGCCTATAAGAAAGAAGGAGGCAATCTTTTTAGCAGGGTCTGTTGTGATAGGACAGGGAGTAATGATTTTAAACTAAAGGAAGACAGATTCAGATTAGATATAAGGAAGAAATGTTTTACAATGAGGGTGGTGAAACACTGGAACAGGCTGCCCAGAGAGGTGGTAGAAGCCCCATCCCTGGAAACATTCAAGGCCAGGCTGGACGGGGCTCTGAGCAACCTGACCCAGCTAAAGATGTCCCTGCTCACTGCAGGGGGGTTGGGCTAGATGAGCTTTAAAGGTCCCTTCCGACCCAAACTATTGTATAATTGCCACCGGTCCGGCTTTTATGCCCAGTTCTGCAGGCCGGCAGTCATGAAGCATCATGCATTCACACTGCAGACCATGCAGATTGGTTTTGTAACCTTAGAGTTTTTTATTTAATTCTTCAAGAGAGAGCTGAGGAGTGTGTGGATTGAATTGATGTGGATTCACTTGAATTTCATGAGCCTTTGCACTTGCGAACTGATAGGAATGGTGGACAGAAGAAACTGTTCTGTAAGCATGGCCTCTGTGTGCCTTTGGGCACGTGATCATTCAGACTGGTTTAAAACATGGCTTTGTTTGTTGCTAAGAAGAGCGAAGAATTTTAAGTATAAGAGAGTGGAGTAAAAAAGACCTTGCAGAGTTACAGTCATAAAAAAATCTGTTCAGACATTTGGCTTGCATAGCTGGCTCCTCTTTCTCTTGAGCACTGCAGCCTGCAGTTCCCAGAGGGAAAGGTTACATGGTGACTTTTTTTCCCCCCTCATTGTGTATCTTTACCTGTTCAAAAACGGTTTTGGAGAATTATTTTTAATTATGATTTTTCATACCCATCTGGTCTTTAAAAAGAAAAAGTGTTCCAATTTATAATAATTACCATACTTTGCATAGTTAATAAAAGACTACTTAAAATAATGAGAGAATAGCACTCATATTAAATTCCCTGGGTCATTTGACTTAACAGTTGCATTTGGTGGGCAGTGGCAAGTATAGTTCTGCCGATGATGAGAATCAGCAAGCTGTTTAAAGGTAATGGATTTCAAAAGTCCATCATAAATAGATCTGTTTTATTACTGTCATCCAGGTAAGAGAGAGTGCCTTAGTAATTTCTCTGGAGATGTCATACTTTATAGTATAATTGAGTGTAACTATACTGCTTGTCCCTCGAGACTGGTATTATTTGTAAGTCTACAGCTGTGTTGCATCCAGCCTCGTGATAAAGGGAGGATAAAACAGAAAATAATTTTGACTCTGTGGACCCTTGCTGCGGGTTCTCTTGGGTTGCCCTTCGCTGGCTGGAAGCAGAGAGGTTTTGCATCTTGGCAGCATTTTGTCCTTTGTAAGTGCTGGGCTTAGAAGTTACAGGGCTATTGTTCTGTGCCGTTGCAGAGGAATGTATGTATATAGCGTAGATATGCATGTATCTATCTCCTGGTGCTGGGACTGAGCAGAGATGTGTGCTGTGGTCCTCAGTGAACTTGCTGGAGCTGGAGTGCATTGCTGCTTTTACTGAAGAGGCATAGCAAGTGTTCCTGATTAGGGCAGAGTGCCCCTGTGAGCCTTGTTTCCTTTGTAAAGTGGATTTTAAAGACGGTAGGGATTCTGCTACTGTGTGTGTTTCTGCGAGTACCTCATCCTGTATTGCTAATGTGGAGATAGAGCAGCCTGCAATGAGAAAACAAAAATGATGGAAAAAATGGGATCAATTTATGTGGCAAAAATGGCTGTTTAATTGGATTTCATAGCAAGGTTGGGCTTTTCCACTGATAAAGATGCCACTAGGGTGTATTACAGTATTGTTCCACCATATGTGCGCTGGTGCATAGGCCTGAAAAACATGCAAGACTGCTCCTGGAAAAGACACCCAAAAATCTGCTTCAGTGAAATATTCAGGAAAAGTCATAGCATCTGCATCTTTTTCACAGCATGGTTAGAGGAGATCCCCAGGCAAATTTAATCAGAGTTTCTGTTTCTAATGTGCATTTTATTAACCCCGTGTTTTATTCTTCAAGTTACACACTGATACTGAGTCAGTTTTGGTTTTACATATTCAGAAATGCTGCTAAAAATCTAGTTATTCTCTGTGATGCTTGGAACTACATTAATTACCAAATAAAATGTTAAAACTCTTTCTATTTGTAGCATCTCAAAGATAATGTGTAAACCCCATTAGCTCCAACGCTGAGGAGTCTGGCACCCGGCGTAATAAAACACCCGGTTATTTTGTATTTTATTAACTGCCCCTTCTCTTCAGTTTGCATAATAGTGAGTTAGATTAACATTTGTTAAGACGGCCGTGCATTACTCTTAATAGAAGACATGTCAAACGTCCCGTTGCCGGTACTGCAGCATGATAAAGTAACCTCATATGATACTGATGAAGATTTCGTTCACACTTGCTGGTTTCATGCAACGTCTTTTTTTCCAGATGGATACCCTATTGTAAAATGATTTCCTGCTTTAGGCTCTGCTTTGTGTAGCTCTCCGCTATGCCATCTTTCTATGAACTGGATAAACTGCCTATTAAATTTAATTACAGACTGAATGACTGCACATCTTGATCTTATTTTTCCTCCAATGTACTGTATTTCACCAAGGTCCTTGAGGATGAAATAAAATAAATCTGAAGGATGCATACTCCAGTAGCCGAAAGAAATGTTTCAAAGGGCATTACAATGACTGTTAACCCATTAGTTCTGGACTATTTTGAAGGCAATTCTTTAAGGTTTAGGATTATAAAGACATTTTCTCCTATATTTTCTTCTGTCATTTAAAAAACCAAAACAAAGTAGAGGAAGTTCCCAGACCAGAATTCCACCTAGAAATTAAGTAGTTAATTTGTTGTCCCTTAAAAAGAGGGGGAGTGGAGAGGAACACATATGCACCTTCAAACTGTTCAGCGCGGTTAGCATTTATTTTTTGCATTAAGGGCCTAATGTAAACATTACCGGCTCGAATCTCCACCCTGTTGCCAGTGAGGGTGAATGTCAGGCTGGCGGCGCCCTTGGGACCCATCGGGTCTTTCCCTTTTGTGACTGATGGTGGTCGTGGCGTCTGCCTTCCAGGGCTGCCTTCGCATCACAGCCAAGCGGAGCTCACCCCACGTCCCCTTGTCGACCTCTTCAGGCTCTGTGTCCTTCCCGTGAACCGAAGAAAGCTGATGGCTTCAAAGGTTTCCAAGGAGGTGGACGTCCTCACCATCAGCAGCGATGGTGGCAGGGTCACTAGAGATGTTTCCTCCAAGAAAGCGCTGTCTGTGTAAATTGAATGCATTTCGGTGGCTGTTTATCTACCTTATCCGTTAGACTTTTAGATTGACACTCCTCTCATTTAACTTTTATTTTAATGTTAATTTGACATTTTAACTTTCTCATTACATTGGCTTCCCTTGCAGCTGGGGAGCAAGCCACCATCTGAGGGGATTTTCCCTTACCTGCCTTAAGGACCTGTCTGGTGGGCCTTTTTTTGGAGATGCCTCTCTCTTTCTTGGTTAGTCAACAAGCTCAGATGAGAAGCAGAGGAGAGAACTCAGCCTTTGTTTTTCTGTGGTTGCAGCTCAGCACCTTTTGCAAATTCACTACCAGCGTATTTTTACAGGTAAAATTCCTCTTGCAATGAAGAGGAGATCGCCCAGACGCTGAAGGCAGCTGCAACGCATGCTAAACCCGGTGGCTCGTGAAGTAGTGGGGGGGACCATCACGCTGGCTGCATCCCAAATGGCATTGGATCAAATGCTGGCAAAATGGGAATATGCCGCATGCTGGGGAAGACGAGAAGCCTCGGGTGTTTCAGAGCTCTGTCGTTACCTGTTTCTCATCACCCCATGGGAATCAAGGGTGGGCTGGAAACAACTGACCAGGCCTCCCCATGACACCGTCTTCTGTTGGACTGGCATCAAATAGATCACCGTAACCTTTGAGTCAGCCAGTTCTTGGCTGGCATGTTTAACTTTTTCAGGGATTAAGTGGTTTTTCTGAATGTATGAAAACATGAGTTTAATCACAAACTTAACACAGGTTTTCTGCGCATCCTAGCAAATTATGGACTTTAGGATTAAGATGCACAAATATAGGGAAACAGCCTCTGAAAGATGCATCTGGAATGTCCCTGTTACACTTCGGACAGTAGGTTATATGTTGGATGCACTGTCAAATGAGCATATAGCATTCGTCAGTGCACATGGTGTTTTTCCTAACGTCATGTAAAGAAATGTTCTTTAATTCATGGGAGATTGTAGCTTGAGAAAGCTGTAAAACTCTTGCAGAACCACAGAGCAGATAAATTAAGTAGAACTAATTTGCTAAGACCTTAAGTATGTGAAACTATGTTCCAAATATTGTGCTGCTTTTTCCAGATGAGGACCTGATATTCTTGTTCCTCTGTTCATTTATATTTTCTGGGGTACAACTGTAAATTGTCTCTCTCAATGCACTTATTATTTAATGGCAAGGAAGAATAATGATAGTGGCATTTGGAAATGTTTAAGTTCATTTGTATTCCTTGTACAGATGGCCTCTGCAATCATAAGTAACGGAGAAATATCCAAGGAATTTTCAAGCGATTAATCCAAGTTTAAACCCAGCATCATCCCAACAGCAAGCTGCAGAAAATGCCTGGAATGTTAATAGAAAGTACTTCTGGAAGGAATACTCAGTTGTTGTTTCTTTCTCTTGAAAACCATTTACTGAAAGGGACGTTGTTGATTTATGGTGCCTTCTGCTGTCTTTCCAGAACTCCAGCGCAGATCATCGGGTTCGACTGGACCTCGGGCTTTGGGACAAATTCAGTGAACTTGCAACAAAGTGCATTATTAAAATAGTGGAATTTGCAAAGCGATTGCCAGGCTTTACAAGTTTGACCATTGCAGACCAGATAACTCTACTTAAAGCAGCCTGCCTGGATATACTGGTATGTATTTTTAACATCATCGTTATACTACTAATGTATTTTATGTTGTTCTTCTTTTTACTGTAATTGACAGGGAGAGGGGGTCAAATACTGCCCTGGCCTTGTGGTTGCAACATTGAACTTACTGGGTAGTCTGGTACGATCACAAGTGGACTCTAGCACGTCTACAGACGTGTGTTCTATGGGATAAGCGTACTTTTCAAAATAAGTCTGTCGTTTGTGGATTTCAGTATAGTTGCAAGAAAGGCACTATTTTGGTATTGTGGCACTAACCTGAAATATGTGCAACTTTGGAAACGTTTCCTTACTGATAACACTGAAGAGAGATCTGATTCTTCCTTCCTCCTTCCTTCTCCCTCCAAAACATAATGCTCTGTACACAGGATACCTAGAAAGACAGTCTGCCGGGTAACGTTTAGGAACATGCTGTACCTGTGGTCAGGAGGGAATTCAAGGAACAAGGTACAGATCTTCAGGGCGAGGCTTTTGCAGGTTGTAGAAGGGAAACTGGTGCGCCTCGAGCCCGGCAGGCACAAGCCTCCAGCACACAGATCCCCCTGCTTTCACCAGTGCTCCGGGCACCTGGGGAAGTGGGCGTTGTAACGGAGTCTGTACAGAATTTAGCTAAATGTCATTTGATTTTAAATAGGCAAGCGTACAACCTGCAGCGGAGAATTGTGCAGGTGGGCTTGGGCTTTTTCTCCAGACCTTGCCTTGCCACTATGTCAAGGCAAGCTGTCTTCCCTCCCTTTGTCTCTGGTTGTTTCTGTCACGCTGACCTTCAGAGGAGCCCTCTGGGATCTCAACATTTCTTTATCAAGATCGTAGAGGTCTTCAGGCTTTTAGTGGCAAATATGCTTCTTATTATTGGTCGTAGCAATAACTTTCAGTAAAACAGTATTTTCAACATGTTTTAAAGATATTTTAAATGTTTTCTTCTGAGGACAAACCTTCAGGTCTTCATTGGGCCAAGCACGGCCAAGAAGCCTGTTGTAGGATGGCTACTGTAGGTACGTTTTTTGGCATGACACAGGAGTTTAAACTAGGGAATTTGAAGTAATTAATCTTGGAATTTCTAAAAGCGCATTGCTTCAAACAGGATCATACTGAGGAGGACGTTAACCGCTGTGACCTTTTCCTCCTGCTTTGTCAAAAGCTGTTTTGAAGAATTGCATCTAGAGGTCGTTGATGAAGGAGGAAGAGTGGTGGGAGAGGGAAGGGGATATCGTTCTCCAGCCTATAAAAAAAGGGAAGGTTGAGGTTGCCCTGTTGTGCCCGAGATTCACCTCTCGTTGTGCCCTTCACCCAGGCGCTCATTCAGACTTGACCACCTCATCATTACTGTGCGTGGTCCCTCCATGGGGCAGAGCCATTCGTCACCAGCTACACGCCTGTCATTGCCAGCTCTGTCCTGATAAGAGACAGTTACGTTCCCCGTTTGCCGAAAGGCATACAGCGATCGATAAACTGTGGGATTGCCTCGAGTGCGTTCTGCCAGAGGCACAGGATGGGAACTGCTTTGTGCTTTGCTGTTGTAATGAGTAACAAATCGTTAATGCAGAAACTACCCAAAAATGGTGGGGGAGAGTCAGGATATAGCAAGAATCTGCACATCCAAACTCTTTACCCCTAAAACTTCACCCCTTAAGCTGCCACCCCCTATGTGTTGCTGCTATGCCTTGGCTCTGTAGCTGCTGGGAAAAAACATACCCTAATTCTGTACTTGCTCAGGGTCCCTCAAGCTCCTGGTGCCTTTTTTTGGGGTGGGTAGCGGGCGCTTACCCCAGGAACATGCACAGGGTCCCCCCAGCAGCTCTGCTCGCTGCTTGCACCGCCAGCCCTGTAGGGGTAGCCTTTCTGTTAGCGGTTTTACCTGAAGTGCTTAGATAAAGGCACTTCACAGCCTTTGATCAAAGTGACGAAATAAAAGCCTAGCTGCCAGATTAGAAAAAGAACAATGAAGCAGGTGGTGGATGGTGACTTTGCTTCAGTTAATTCATGGATAGAAAACGTTGATTCTTTAATACAACTCACCACTTTCACTTCTTGGCCATGTGGCAGCCTTCAAGCTGTAGTTGCAAACTTTATTGAGACCTGTCATTCCCGATCACCTGCTCATGCTCTCTTTGGTTTTTCATGAAGCTGGAGAAGGTGGCACATCCGAGCAAGCAGGGCGTAGCGAGTGCCATAGCTACCCGTAGCAGGGAGGAGCTGAGGCTTTTCCAAAATCAGGAGCAGATAAGACAAGGTTGCCGCGAAGAGCCCTAACTTTCCTGTGCGACATTTACACAAGCTTTATGTGACTATTTTATGCGCTGCTTAAAAAGAAAAAGGGATAATTACCATGAGCACAGTAATGCATCGTGCGTGCGCTGTCTGTGAAATGCCCATATCCATTAAACCCACATCACCTGCACATCATTGGAATTGCAGTGCAGTTCTGTATCTGTATTTAAGCTAAATTTCAGTACTTGGAGCAGTGTTTTAATACCACATATTTCCACCACCCCCCCCCCGCCAGCAAGCTAGTTCTCCTAATTATGAGGAGTGTTTCGAACGTTTTATCTTATATGTTGAGACACAGCATGAGCACCATTTCCCCTCCTGCTGCATGAGCACCCGGTGCCAGTGCCTGCCCCTGCCCCTGCCTGCCGTGTGAGCGCTGCCGAGTGTGGGGGTGAGCCTGGCCGGTGTGCACGCGCGGTCCCGCAGCTGTGCAGCCCTCTGGACGTGTCCCAGCGCCGCAGCACGTGTGGCGTGGGGCTCCCAGCCCAGCTGGGTGGCGTGGCCGGGCTCCCCTCGCCAGCAGAACGCCGGCTTCACTGCCCGCCTGCCTGTCAGTGCCAGCTCTGGGGAGTCTTAAGCATCTCTAGACCCTGCCAAGGGCTCTCCTCAATTGCTTAAACCCCCCTTAAACAGGCTGACAAAGGAAATGGTGCCAGGAGCTCAGTAAACTCCACTGGGTATGGGCCAAATAATTGTTTTATATACAAACAAGCAAAATCTCTGGAAGGGAAATAACACCAAGCCTCACAAAGCAGCTGAAGGCGCCGACTAAGGATGGTGGAATTTATATCTGCTCCGGTGCCAAGAGTTTCAGGGATAAATATTACCAAAATCCAGTCAGTAACCCTTTATAAAAGTGCTTCTGTCTGCTGGTACACTGGCCCGGCAGCGGTCGAGCATCCCCAGCCTTGCTGAGATCTGGCAAATTGAATGTGGAAAGAGTCCAGAGTCCAGCCTGCCTTAAATCCAATGGATAAAGACCTGAGAAGTCCTTGAACGCTAATCATTAATAATGTCATTTTTGCTTTCTGTTGTAAAACCCTGCATGTTAGTGCTAGGAAGGCATTTGTGTGTGCGGAGCAACGTGTGCTGATGGTGTATGGCAGCACCGTGGAGGTTTGTTCGTTGTTTCAGAGTCACCTGCTTGGGTTTTTCCTCTCAGGAAACTCCCAGCCAGCTAAGGCAGCTAGCGACTAACAAACAACAGATTTCTTAAGTAAATAATAAGCTTGCCTTAACTGATCTGTTTAAAATGAGCAACAATTCTACGGTAGCAACAGTTTTGTAAATGCAGCTTTCTGGATGGTTTTGGTTTTGTGCAACACGTAGGGTTTTTGCTTTGCGCTTTGTAACTGGCTCATAGGAACCAGATATACATACTCCTTAAAACAAAGGGTCCTTTAATCATGGTCAAGAACCTTATTTATGGCTGCAAGTGGCATTTAAGAGCAGAGTGACAACTAAAATACTTGGCTTGGTTACAAAATCTAAATAGCACTGAGGACGTTAGGAGGATGTCTTCTAGACAGCG